CGCGATTGGTCGAAACTTTACTGTTACTGTTACGAAAAAGTGTGTGTCCGGGGCTTTAGCATACAGCCTAAATTCGTCATATTGATTTACATAAGATGCTCATTGGTCCAGCGGTCGCTATGCTTATGCAACCTATACAATTTTGTGTGCGATGGCCGTAAATCGAGTAAGTATTTCATGCTGGATGCTCATTGGTCCAGACGGTCTTATGCTATGCGTATGCGTATGCGACGCCCGCGACGTGTGTGTAATTAGCGATCGCAGATCACAGTCTCTATTAACATCGTACATTTAACTTTGTATACTATTTTTGATATTTGGCGATATATATGGTAATCGTGGGAGATAGGCACGAATGTGAATATTCATGAATCGATGATTTAATTGTAGTCAACCGAAATCATTTTACAAGCAGCAAGTGTAGCATTCTCACGACGCCGACGGTTGCTGTTGCTCCTGGCGAGAGTGGCGAGTGAAGTTGGCTGCGCGATTTACGAAATTCTCTCCGCCATTTAGCGTCTACCTGCGGGACGGGTCAAGCGTCACGGGCGTCAAGCGGATCGTTCGTAGCTTCTCCGCCGTAATTCTTACGTTGCCGTGTAACAAAGTACGCGCTGCGTCGCGAGATTAATATCAGGAGTGCCGTGCAAAGTGTCGCGCGACCATAAGTGACGATATTTTCGCGTCGGAGTCGTGAGTGAGTGCGCCGCCGGAGATGCGACAACGGAGGAGGACCGAGGAGAGGAGGAGGAGGCCTGGGAGGCATCGGGCAATGGCGGAGCAACTATGGGGTGAGTAATTGTCATTCAATTATTATTTTTACTGTGCTGTGACGGATTCCGTCACTTTCTTAAGCGCGACTTGATTCGCTCGGATCATTACGTGATACTCGCATTACTCGTTCAAGATTTAACTCCGGCGCAATTTCGCAATTTCGGAGGTCGATGTTCGGAATATGCGAGGAGAAATATTATGTCACAAATATCGCGTCTCTCTCTTATTCGCACGCTCGCAATGTTACTTGCACAATTTTTCGCGGATTGATTATGAACGAATTAATGCGGAAATATGCAACCGCTTGCGACTGGATTGTTTCTTGATTTGGATTTTAAAATCAGACATATCTGTGAAGATAACGTTTTAAATATTTAACGGGCGCGTTAATTATCAAATATCTTAGACCTGCTTTAATGTAAAAATATTTTCATGTTACAGATCCACGCAGGGTTGCAACAACTTTACAACTCCGCTGTTGCGCATCGGCCGGTAAGTTATTTTTTTTATTTTAATGTCAAGGCAATAGATTTGTAAAAATTACATTAGAAACGTAATTGAAATGTATATGTATGAGAAATAAAATATTAAATTAAAAAAATTAAACTATTAAAGATTAAGTATATAAAATATACTACAAACTAATATATTATAATATTTATTAAAACCTATTGCCTTGAAATGGGATAGGCTCGGAAATGAATAAACTCTCTCTCTAGAGCCTAGATAAAATGTTTATAATTGATGTAAATAAAAGTGGAGGTAGGCTGACTAGGCACGGTGTGCCTACTCCCCTTCATTCCCATCTCTCATGTTGCCGAGAAGCCGCCGGCCGCCACAGTCTCATTCTCTATCACTGCTCGCACGCGGTATCTCGCGATGTTAACGCGTTACGAGATTCGATAATCCCGACACTTGGAGCCGATCTGCACCAAGAGACTGACTGCACGGAAATGAATATAGCGCGAATCAAAACAAACGTATACCAATATCATCAATATCAAAACATATTGTCGCTTTGTCTTTGTCAAACCTAACGTAGTATTAATAACGGCGAATTGATTTCGATTTTGTTGCAAGAGCTATCGCGACGAGATTGATCTTAGTCTCTTTGAGAAATAATAATAATTTGTGAGCCATTTAACTATATACAATCTTTTGAATCGTACATTGAATATTGTCATAAGTACACGTTTAAAGTAATAATACGTTAAAAGATCTCAGAAATTACACGTGTAGAGAAATAATTTTCATACAAAATTTCGCAGTTTGCATGTCGAATTGAAATTAAGCTAATCAAGTTAACATGTTATTAGTGTCAAAAGCGTAAGCGCGCCAGCAGGTTTTTGTCGAACGGCATCCGGTATCAGGCTTCCGTTTTGACGTGTCTAACAGTTTTTGTTTCGACTAGTCGTCTCAGAGGCTACGGTCCGGTTCACTTGACGCTACAAATGCTTTGAAGTTCTGTGATTGATCAATTAGTAAAATTCTTTCTTCTGATTAGTCAATCAAATGCTTCGAAGTATTTGTAACGTTAAGTGGACTGCAGTGACTGCACCCCCAGTCGCGCTCCGGTTAAACTTTAAACGTCGAGTGGATTAATCCAGATGCGCGAAACGACGAACGGCCGGCGCGTGTCGCGTTATTCGTTCGCATACGATGTGTTTTAAGCCCGAGATTGTCGCACGAGGTGCAGCCGGTCGTGAACAGCCGCTGTTCTCCGATCGATTCGTATTCCGAGAATAATCGGAGAAATGAAGTGATCAATAGCGACTAGTTGGTGTACAACTAGTAAGTATTTCAGAGGAATGTAACGGCCGGACGAGGAGATGGCGAGTCGACTTGCGAGTAAATCTAGGCTACGGTCAACGTGACGCTACAAATGCTTTGGAGCGTTCTTCTTCTCTTGCTTTCTTCATTGAAAGAAAAGAGAAGAGGAATGCTTCGAAGCATTTGTAGCGTCACGTTGACCGTAGCCCTAGTCATATTCGTCTGATAAATCGTTCATTTCATTAACGGTGATGC